CTATCAGCTTCTGGTAGTGAAGATCCAAGAACCTTCTAAACAGTCACACGGAGTAAGGACTAGCATAAGAGATAGAGTGATTAAAAACTAATAATCAACTAGGCGGTTCCGGACTGACAGCAAAGACGCGTGAGAATAGGACCACACAATCGTAGGTGCATGCTTTGTAGTTGCACAAGACACGAGACGTTCCGAGGGCCTATACAAACTAAGAAGAACCTCACATGAACGGGAATGGCTAAGGGGATCTTGCAGGTACGACCAATTACCGTGAATTAGCTGAGGACAAGCCTAACGGGATAGAAACAATTGAAGCCGATGGGGCCAACAATTACAAGATTAAGACGGTTTTAGATAGGAAATGCTGGATTAAAAAAAAGCTAATTTCGTATTGGCAGGTGAGCATGATAGAAAAGAAGACACTGGCAAGTTCAAAAAAGAATATGAAGAATAGATTATAGGAAAAGGATGATTAGATTTAAGGCATAAGTTAAAACTCTTCGCCCTCAGCTTCCCCTTCACCTTCAACAGTATCAAGGCCGACTTCTTCATAGTCCTTCTCGAGAGCAGCCAAGTCCTCGCGAGCCTCGGAGAACTCGCCCTCCTCCATGCCCTCGCCAACGTACCAATGTACGAAAGCACGCTTGGCATACATCAGATCGAACTTGTGATCAAGGCGAGCCCAGGCCTCCGCAATTGCTGTAGTGTTGCTTAACATACAGACGGCACGCTGCACCTTGGCCAGATCGCCACCAGGCACAACAGTCGGCGGTTGGTAGTTGATTCCAACTTTGAAGCCTGTTGGGCACCAATCGACAAACTGAATGCTGCGCTTTGTCTTTATCGTGGCAATCGCAGCGTTCACATCCTTAGGGACAACGTCACCGCGATAAAGCATGCAACAGGCCATATACTTCCCGTGCCGAGGATCACACTTCACCATTTGATTGGCGGGCTCAAAACAGGCATTAGTGATCTCGGCTACACTCAACTGCTCATGGTATGCCTTTTCAGCAGAAATCACCGGTGCATAAGTAGCCAGGGGGAAATGGATCCTAGGGTAAGGAACCAGATTGGTCTGGAACTCAGTTAGATCGACATTTAGAGCACCATCGAAGCGAAGAGAAGCAGTGATCGAACTGACTATCTGGGCAATCAAGCGATTTAGGTTGGTATATGTTGGGCGGTCAACGTCAAGGTTGCGCCTGCAAATAGGATAAATGTGAAAAACATATTGGATTGAGGATACTCAGGGAACAAGACTAACCTGCAGATGTCATATATAGCCTCGTTGTCAACCATGAACGCGCAATCCGAGTGCTCTAACGTCGTGTGTGTTGTGAGGATCGAGTTGTAAGGCTCGACGACAGCAGTCGAAATTTGAGGTGCCGGGTAAACCGAGAACTCAAGCTTCGACTTCTTGCCATAGTCGACACTTAGACGCTCCATCAGAAGTGAAGTAAAACCAGAGCCGGTACCGCCACCAAACGAATGGAAAATCAGAAAGCCCTGGAGGCCTGTGCATTGGTCAGCAAGCTTTCGAATACGGTCGAGGACAAGATCGACGATCTCCTTGCCGATTGTGTAATGACCACGGGCATAGTTATTGGCAGCATCTTCCTTGCCCGTGATCAGTTGTTCTGGATGAAATA